ATCGCGGAAAACATTGGCGGCTCGGCCAATGGCACACAGCGCTGGAGATCGTCGATTACATGCGCCAAGCAGTGGATATCATGCAGTCGTCGTTGAATATCTATGAGAACGCTATCGTGTCATGTGGCCAAGAAATGGATGAGAGCCATCAAGGAAGCGACAGTTACACGTGTGCTATTGGATGGAGTCAAACAGGTTCTTGACATTCACCATATACTGGCTGAGATACAGACGCACTGGCCTGAAATTCCGTTGGAGGTGTTCAACGCAGCATTAAGACATTCGGACCAGGCAGCTCTTTTTGACGACATGGCCGCTGTGTACTCGAAGAAGCGCCAGTATCGCGTAACAGCTGATACTTTATCGACCCTTAAGCAACGCCTATTAAGCCGAGCACGTATGCAACGTCACTCCGATTGAGTTTGTTGAGCACGCCGTTGAAATGAGCCACAACGCGGATTGGGAACGCCTGTGGTGGCAGCCGCATCACTGTCTAGGAAAAAAAAGTGTTATTGATTGCGAGCCGCTTCACGTTCTCGGGAGTAACAAACACGCCGGCCTTCAGCGTGAGCTCGGCCTTAACCTCAGCATCCGATGGCTGTACGACGCGGTTGTTGAGGATGTCAACAAACTCTTGCGTCCACTCACCAACTCGCGCGTTCGCGCATCCTCGCCCCCATTCGGGGTCGTTGCGAAAGCGGACTGTCTCGTCGAGTACGACGACAGTCGTGAACCGCCTCCATAGCTCGAAGCTATCGATGTCGGCCGTTGAAGGGTGTGACTTGGTGGTTGGATCGACGAAAATTGCGTCGACGCCGACTGGCTGCATTTGCAAGAAGTCGCGTACGAGAATGATGTGCACACCGCCGAATGGTACATTTGACACTTGCTTGTACCTGCGCAGCATTTTATCACTCAGGTTTCGACATCATCGACACTTCATCGATGACGAACGCGTCCAGCGTGGCGAAAGATTTGTCTTCGATCGAGTGCTTGATGCGCATGATGAAACTCGCCAAGGCCCGCGCCCCGATCAGCGTAGCAGCTTTTCCGGTGAGCGCAGTTTTTGTCAACGAGCTTTCACAATGCCAGCTCGCGCAGAACGGTTGACCGCATCAATGATGCGGCTTTTCCCGTTCCACCAGCACCACCGAGAAACATGAGCAGCTGCTTGTCTCTGAGCTTCTCTTCAACGTCGTGGCTGCTGCGGTCGTTGGTGGCGCCATCAACGAATTCGAGCCCAGCCTACTCCTGCCGCAGAAACGTTCGTAGCAGCGCAGTCGCGATGATCGTGAATGCGGCGTGCTGCCTTTGATTAAGTGTAAACGCGCATGGGACCTCGGCAATTGTTGCGTAATGGTTGACGTCCGCATGTTGGCGTTGGCGATCACTTGAAACCCATATCGCAGCAGCTGGGTCAAGCGCTTTCGAGAGCAACTCGATGACTTCTGTTCAGCTCTCTCGTTGGTAATGCTTAGACAGCTCCGATTCGTCTGTCGTTGGCGACTTACCATATCGACTGAGTTCCTCAACGGTAAACGCCGGTGCCTGGGATAATGTGGCAAGTGTGCTGGCGGTTGTCTGGGCGACAGGCATCAGCAGCGGGTGGTACACAGTTGTCGAGGAGGCTGCGGACGTGCTAGATTGCGTCGTCGTCAGAACGACTGGGATCTTGTCCCCGATCACGCAGGCATCGAACTCGTCACCAGAAGGATCCTCGCATGCCGGCTCGCTTCCATCGACCATTGCCTCGACTTCATGACGAGTCCCCATGACGTCGTCGTCGTTCTCGCCCAACATGTCGACGTTGTCGTGCTCGCTGGCAGCAGCATCTTGTGTCTGCTTCTCGACACGGTAGAAGTCGTCCATGTTTGCCATGAATTGGGAGACGAAGCCCAATCGCGTGGGCTCCCATCGTCGGTAAGCGTCAACCCAGGCTGCGTCGTTCGTCACGTCAGCGACGAG